AGCATACCTAGTACACTTTTTGTTGAGTAGTATTTGGTAGAGCACCTTGGCGCTAGCGCATCTTGCCACCTTGAGCACTAGTGCATGAGCGTGGCATCTTCCTTGTGACATCAACGTGGCATGCTTGTTCACAGCGGCACGTTGGGCACTTGAGCTACTTAACATTCACCCGCTTTCCCCACTTGAGCTTTCTTCTCAAATCGACATACCGCGGCTCGTTGGACTCACAAAAAGTTGAGCATATGTTGAGCGCACCCGACACGGCACAGCCTCGACTCATCACGGCACGACAGCAGTGAGATAAGATTTTGCTATTTCACGTAGCTTATTACATAGGCATCATGCTTTTTCGCTTCGACTGCATATGTTGAGCGCACCCGACACGGCACAGCCTCGACTCATCACGGCACGACATCAAGGTTTATAACAGCAAGTGACCCGGTGACCATCATGGCACATCATGCTAAGTTGGACAACGCGAGCAATAGCATACTCAGCGCCCAAAACTCAGTGATTTCTGGCGAAATATCCAGGGCACGGACGAGCTCAATGTCTAGCAGTCGAACCCTAAGCCCAGCTCTGATCTTCGTGTCGTCTTCAAAGTCAGTTGCACGCTATGTTTACAAGAGGTTTACAAGAATCATAGTCACTCTAACCTTGACGTATTCAGCAGGAGTCCATGTATTGTTGGGTTTTGCAATTGTCTCATGCCGTAGCTTCACCATCATGGCATGGGAGCCTAGCTTATAAGGACATGACTTGTAGGGGGAGCACTGCAAGCTGCAGAGTCAACTCATTGTACCGTCCCGGTCTCACTGGCAGACTAGCTGCTCGATAGCTCATGACGTGGCACGTACGGGGCGTTATTAAAACATAACTTACTGCATCATGATATGTCGGACATGGCCGGCCGCTTTGCAAGGCATTGCATGTGGTGCACTGTAAGCACTGGCATGCCAAAACATGGTACGTGGTTTCGATCTGCACATGATGGCCGGTGAACATACCGGCTCAATTGTTTCCATGGCAGCCCGGCCGTCACGTACTGTGGTTGGCCGCGCCTGGCACGCATGATGAACGCGGCATATCCGAGAACATCGGCCAGGCTTGAGAAAGTGCACTAAGACAGCTAGGGCTGTCCTCAGCAATTTACAATCATAAGATGGTCAGACGTCCTTATTGAACAAGGCCGTGACGATACCCAATCCGCGGCCAAGTTCAAAAGTGAACATGCACCATGGATACGACGTTGAATTCATGTCTTACAAGAGCCCCGCTTGGAAAACATGTGCAAAAGCAGCTGGTATCTATGGCAACATCAGGCGTTTCCCCATTGACCATCATTTCAACGATGCTGATCAGAGTGGCCCAACAACAGCATTGAAGTCGGAACAAATCGTCCTCGTGGAATCAAGCTCTTTTCTGGAAAATCAATGTAACGAGAAATCGGCTTCCAACCAATGGGCGGTTAGCAAAATCAGGAGTATCTGCCATGTCAAGACTCTGCGTTACAGTTCATCGTGGCCGCTCCTGCTCTCCTCGTCCTCGAGCCCTCCGCTGTCGTCATTGCTCGCGCCCTTCTTCGCCCCCGCGTCCTCTTCTTCCCCTCCCTCCTCGCCACCTGCGCCCTCGTCGGGGCCCAGCTCCTCGCTGGCGGCCTCCTCCGTCTCTGGCGCACCCGCCTCCTGGCTCGTCTCGTTGCTGACGGTCGAGTCGTCGCCGGAAGTCGTCACGTTCACTTTCGGCTTCGGCTTCGGCTTCGGCTTGGGGATGGCTTCCACCTTCCGGATCTGCACACAACGGAGGGTGCAAGTTACACTGGTGCCACGCCCCGGCTGCCGGCCTGCTCCCGCAGCCCACACCTGTTGCTCTGTGCCCATGTCCCAGGCAGTGCCTGGCGTGGCCGCACTGGCCGCCCTCTGCCCGCGGCGCCTCGTGCGTCCGCCCGACTCCCTCCGCCAGCTCGTCCCATCGCTTCGGTCAAGGCTGCACCTCGACTCCTCCCCACCTGCTGCCACCCGGGCAGCGGCCCGCTTGCTTCAGCTGCAGCACCGTTCGTCACGTGCTGCCCGGCCCCCCTCTCTTTCGCTGTCTTTCTATGCAATACGGGGTGTCTATCTATTGTCCGTAGGGGACCCAGGTTCGGCATTCCTGCACCCCCGGCGCGGCTCACCTTTTTCAGCAGTGCGCTGGCGCGGCTGTCCACGTCGGCGCACGCGAAGGCGGGGTCCTCCTCCGGCCGGCGGCCCGCCTGCGCGGCCTCCTGCTGCGCCACCCACTCCTCGAACTCGCCCACCGCCGCCAGCAGGCCCGCCAGCTCCGCGTCGCCCACCCATGGCCGGCTCTCGCGCCAGGCCGCCACGTCCCGCCGCGCGCGCGCCACCAGGGCATGGGCGCGCGCCACGATCTGGGGACGGTGTCGCTGCTCTTGAAGGCGGAAGAAGATGCGGTCGCCCTGCCTGCACGCACGGCAACAGGCGAGGAGGGGGGTCAGGGCCCCCCCGCGAGCAAGCCGCCAGCGCGACCCTGTGCCCCCGGGTGTCCGATCCAAGTGGCACCGCTCCTCGAAATAGCAGTACGGAGACGAGGAACAGCAGGGCGGGGACTCGACGATAAGAGCCATGCTCGGGCATCACGTCGCTACCACATGACAGCGGCTGTAGCAGCGCGGGGCCAGGAGCGTGCATGGCTGGCGGGCGGGGCAAGCCCCCGGATGCACAACTCGTAGCTCCGCAGCACTGGCAGCCCCCGATGGCGCACGGTTCGCACAGGAGGCCACAGTGGCACGCTCCGCTGCTGCACCCCGCGCCGTACAGGTCGGAGCTCCAGCGACGGCAGAGCGTTTGGAGTGCCCTCTCGGCTGCCTGGCCTGTCGTCGCCGGCCGGGCCCCTGCTTGCGGCGGGGCTCACCGGCGCAGCGCTGTGTGGCGGTCCTGGAAGGCGGGGGCGGCGCCGTCGGCCCCCTCCCCGTACAGCCACTCCTCCGCCGCCGCCAGCTCCGCCTCGAGCTCGCCGCGCTCCGCCGCAGTGGACACGCCGGCCACGCCCTCCTCCTCCGCCAGCTGCACCGCACACCCGGACAAACGGTCAGCACCCGCGGCGACCACAGTGTGACATGGGGCGCTGCAGAGTGCCGTGCTGTGTTTCACAGTGCGCTGAGGGGGGCCTGCCCGCTGTGCGCGCGCTCACGTTGGTCCTGGTCTGCAGGATGTACGCCTCCAGGCTGTTCTTGGCCTCCGCGGTGGCGTGCTTCTCCTGGTCGCGCGCGCGCAGCTCCTCGTGCCGCGCTGCTGCGGCCGCCAGATCTGCGGGCTCCATGCCCCGCAGCGACGCCGGGCTCACGTCCGCCACCTGCGCGCCACCCCGCACGTCATCAGCACAGCGGCAAAAGCAGCCGCCGGGTGTGGGTGCGGCGACCACTCTCGTAGGCAGCTCCCCCCGCAGGTTCACTTCCCGTTGCTGCACGGACTGCCCGCAGAGAGGCCGGGGGGCAAGGGGCCGGAGCGCGAGAGGGCCGTACCTCGAGGGGGATCCTGAGCGTCCGCTTCCTGTGCTTCACCGCCGGCCGGCCCGCCTCTGTGCCGTTGCCCGTAGCTGCGCCCTCGGCCCCCTCGCCGGCGGCTGCATCCCCCTGCGGCACGCTCTGGTTGGCGCTGCTCGCGTTGCCGGTCACGTTGACACTTGCGTTGGGCGGGGGGGCCGGCGCCGGCAGCGCCTCCAGCGTCTCCACCACCAGCTCCGCCTTGTCCAGCGCCGCCACGCCCGCGCGGCTTAGCGAGAAGTGGAGGGCCACCTGCAGGCAGAGTGCAGCGCGCGTCAGAGCGGCCCCCCGAAGGACGCTCCGGAAGGGCAGGCAGCCGGAGCCGCGCATGCAGCAGCAGCCCCTTCTGGCTGGGGCCCACGGGGAGAGGCTGGAGGAAAGGGTTAGCCGGCCAAGATCGAGTGGATCCAGAAGTGAAAGGGGTCATGCTCGGCCCCTATGCCGCCAAAGTGAAGACAGGCTCGTCATTCGCTGACGCTATCCTTGGCCTGCGCAGAAGCTCGGCCCGGCTGTGTCCCGGGCGGAGGCCCACGACCCTGCCCTGCCCTGCCTCGGGACCCTGCTGCCCCGAGCGGCCTGCCCGACCCCCGCCAGTCAGACCTCCGAGAGGGGGGAGGCCAATCGGCGACACTCCAAGCACCGCCGAACCCATGTTTCAGTCGTTGTTGTATGGTGGCAAAGCCAATCAGGTTGTAGAGCGGGTGCGGAATCCATTTCACTGCTCTCGGTCAGAAGCTTCCCGGTTACCTTTCTCAGCAGTTGGGGCATTTTTCAGTTTAGTGGCATCTGATGTGTTCCAGAGGCACAACGGGAGACACAATCCATGAGAGATTGGGTGTCCCCCTGTACATGCGAGGAATGAACGTTGTCGTCTTTGGAACTTCTGCGGCGTCCTTGCAGCCCTGCTGTCTCCGCGCGCTTCTGCTGCGGCACATCAGCGCTCCGTGCAGTCTGGCAGCGTACCTTGAGCGGGGCGGTAGCGTTGGCGCGGTACTTGGCGGTGGCGGCCGCGACCCCGCGCACCGCGTACTGCGCCACGTCCAGGCTGGGCATGCCGGCGGGGAGCGGCCCTGCGGGGTCGTACGCCAGCGCCACTCCGAAGTCGTCCTCCTGCGCCTTGAGCGACCTGCGCAGCAGCGGGGCGCTGAGCGAGGAAGGGCCGCTGTGCAGGGGTGGGGCCGAGGCACAGGGTGGCGACAGACAGCGGCAGTGGCGGCAAGCCACAGCGGGCCCGCTTAAAGGCATGGCGGCACCAGTGGGGGCCGGTTGCGTGGCGGCGCGCTCACCGGATGATCCTGGTGGGCAGCTTGCGCAGCGGCGGGAAGAGGCTGCGCGGCGCGCCTGGTGCGGCGGCCTCGGCCCCCTCCTCGGACGCGTCCTCGCTGCCGCGCGCGCCGTCGAGGCGGTACACCAGGCCGTAGGGCAGCCCGTCGTTGACGCCAAAGGGGCGCAGCTTGAAGCCGTCGCTCAGGTTGGCCGCGTGCAGCCCGGCCCCGTGCGCCACCGCCTCATCCGCGTCCAGGTGCCGGTCCACGCCGCGAACGTCGCCCTGCACACACACCGCCGCCCACACGTCGGAGCAAGGCACGACTGGCTGACAGGGACCTGGAACCCGCGACCGAAGCACAGCAAGAGCAAATGACGAGCCGCCACGAAGGTAGACACCAATAACTGCAACTGGGCGGATAAGGGATCTGAGGCGGCCCATGGGCAAGTGTCCCACTTTGCGCGCATACCAGGAAGTCTGTGAGGGCGGCCTGCAGGCGCGGCACGCGGGTGGCGCCCCCGATGACCTCCAGCGCGTCGAGGTCCGCTGCCGTGATGTTAGCCTCAGCGAGCACATCGCGCAGCGGAGCCAACGCGCGCGTCCACACATCGGCGCACAGCTGCTCAAACAGGCGCCGCGTGATGGACGACCTGCAGCCGCAGCACAGCGCATGCTCGCGTCAGCAACAGCGCGGAGGGGGCTGCCAGAGCGGCACACAAGGGCCCAGGGGGGCCGCGCCACAGCGGGGCAGCAAGACGCGCAGGCGGCATGGGGCGAAACGTGGCAGCTCGACTCCCTCACCGGAAGTCGTGGTCGTCCAGCAGGGACTCGACGGAGATGGGCGCCTCGCTGTTGGCGCTGAGGACCTCCTTGGTCTTGCGCACCGCCTTGAGCAGCTTGGCCATCGCTTTGGGGGACGCGCGCACGTCTGTGCCGCCCCCGACCTGCACCAGCCGCGCGATCAGCTCGTCAACACAGGGACGGCAACGCACAACACCTCAGAACGGAAGGCAGGAGCCCTAGCGGGGCAGGCACATTGGCTCCGTGTGTACAACAGAGTGGTGGGGCGGTGCGGGCCTGACCTGCTGGTTGAACTCGTCCGCAAAGTGCTCTGCCAGGCGCGCCTCCATGGCCTGGCCCCCCAGGTCCGGGTCCCAGCGCACGCCCAGCGTGTGCGCCTGCCCAATGACAGCGCTGCGGCCGCGGTCCTTGCCTGCGTACGCGGAGAAGCGCAGGAGCGTGGCACGCGTGGCCGCGGCGCCCACGTCGTACAGCAGCACCAGCTGCGTCGCGTTCTCAAACTTGCGGTCGATGCCGTACTGCAGCGCCGCAGCGCTCGGCTCCGTGAGCAGGGCCATCACCTGCACACGCCAGGAGGGGGAGCGCGCTGACTCACGCTGACGACAGCGGCCACGCTGCTGACGGTGGCCCCTCGGAGGCTTGAGAAGTGGCCCCAGTCCAAACACATGCCGGGCACAAAGTCATCCCCATTACGGCGCACTCCAGGGAGCCAGTGCGCAGAGGTGATGACGTGCAAATCAGTCCTGGTGTAAATAACGCACATGAGGCACTCGCACGCACAAATCGCCCCGGCAGGGGCCAGTGCAGCGCAGTGGAGGAGCGCGGCGCGGCTGACCTTGAGCCCTGCGATGTGCGCAGCGTCCAGCAGGGCCTGCCGCTGGCGCTGCCCCCAGAAGGGCGGCACCGTGAGCACGCAATCGCGGATGGGCGCCTTGCTGTGGGCGCGCGCCAGCTCCGCCGCGTAGCGCAGCACCATGGCCGCCAGCTCCTCCGCGCCGTACTCCGCACTGCCGTCGTGCGTGCGGATGCGCACCGTGCGCCGCTCCGCGTCCTCCACCAGGTCGTACGCCAGGTAGCGCCCCGCCAGCAGCGCGCGCGCCTCAGGCAGGGCCACCCCCAGCAAGTCGCGCACGCGCTGGTACACACGCTCAGGGTACCTGCCTCGCCGCACGTGCCACCGGGTCAGGGCGGGGCAGCAGCAGGGTCTGAACCACAGCAGGCGTACCCGGCGCAGGCGTGCAGAGGTAGCTAGAGCATCCAGGCAAAGCATGATGGACAACACGCCTGCCTCCATTTCAGAACCCAGATACACTGGCGGGGCTGACAGATGGGTATGGAGGCTAGCTATGGTGAGGAGATATTGCACCCGCGGCTAGACCGGGCCCTCACCCGCGCCTCTTGGATGAGGCTGTTGCAATCAAGACAAAAGAAAGCAGAATAGCAAGTGCCTCTTGTCTCACTCCACATGAGCACGTCACAATCAACACATTGTTTTGGAAACCACATCATCTCAGTAGATCACACCACTCCAGCACCTACGTTGGTATTAAGAATCAATGTTCCAGCAGATCTCACCAATCTAGCACCTACGGTATAGCAATCAGAAGTTTAAAGCACTCCAGCAACTACAAGGATCTAGCAACAATGCCGCTTCAGCAACCACAGTGATCCTGCAATTACATCACTTGAGCAACAGGGGGACTCCAGCAACCCGCAACCCCAACACCACTTGATCCAGCAGCTACTCTGTCCAGCAACCACCATTCGAGTGCTGTGCCCCCACCTGCCAACTATGGCGGCCGCCTCCTCTCCCAGCAGGCGCTCCCCGTTACTGAAGGCCACCATAGCGGGCGCCTTGCGCTTGCTCATCTCGTTGATGACTGTCGAGATCATGGGCTTCCCCGACTTGACCACCACCATCTTGAGCCACTCTGCACCATAGTCTATCCCCAGCACCGCGGCGTCACGCTGCGGGAGCACGCCGCACGTCAGGAGCACCACCAGCAGGCACCCCAGGGGGCGCCAGCAGCAGCGAGAACCCGCCATGGGGTACCAATCAACCAAATCAAGGATCTGGACGGAAAATTGTTGTTAGATCTGGCCCACGCAACCAACTTGCCACACTTCCTGAGTGTGTACCACTGCCACTACCACGGTATGACTTCTCTGTGCTTCTCGATCCGGCCCGGCTCAAGGTACTCAGTCGTACCTACCGGTAATCGGCTGCCGCCGTGGCCCCGGTGGGGTTTCAAGTTTTGGGCTTCAACTTCAAGTTGCTTTCGAGGCTGCTACCAGTGCGCTCTCGGAGTCGCGGCCGCTCAAAAACGAGTACGACATGCGGTATCAGCGGGGCTTTGGAGGTTTGGAGAGTTGTACAGTTGGGCAATTCTAGCCAATGGACGGTTACAGGTTAGCTGACGTGGGAGGATATGTATCGCTAAACGTGTTCCACTTCCCGGGCTCTGCACAGCAAGAGTTACACAGCAGCTTCTGCAAAACCCTACCGGTCAAAGTTGTACCTAACTTGAGATGGACGTCTCTCGACTGGTAGAACTAGGCAGTATACCGACTCCTCCGGTAACCCGATCAGAGCGAAGCGAGGAGGGCCGGGGCGGCGGGAAACCAATCAATCATCAAATTCGCGAGCGACAAGCTCTCGTCCTACCTACCAGATGACCGAGTATCAAGGTGGTCACGCCGGTACGTAGGTAATACGGTCGGCACCTACAACGGTCCGGGTGACTAGTTCTATTCCCCACAACTACCGTACTTGAGAAGCTGCTGTATGGCGTCCGGACGTTGCGTCCCCGGAGGAAGGTGCCGGGCCGTGTCGCTGTGGGCTCCGCAACCTCCGTCCTCCGTCGATGCCCCACGCCCAGCAGCGGAGGGCGTCCCGATGTTGACCTCGGAGGTCTCGCACAGCAGGCGGTGCCAGCCGTCGATCCGGGTCATCCACGGCCTCCGTTTGCTCCCCGGCTGAGCGGGCGAAAACCGTTGGCTCCCCTTGGCCTCCTCTCTTCGACGGCAGGTCCTCGTCGAGGAAGGCAGCCGTCGGATGAGGACGAGCAGGGCGCAAGTTTGAATTCGCACCGTTCCCAGAAAGGAAGGCTCAGAGCGCTCCATCGCAGAAACCAAGGGCGCACAGCGCCTCCCTTGGAGCTCCCCTGGCCCGAAGCTCCCTCCTGCTGCCACTTGGACACGCCTGGGAATGGCTGCCGCCGCTGAGGGACTTCTCATGTCATCCCCTTGTTCCTAAAACTGGGAGCAGGCTTGATTAGGTAGAATTAGGGGTTCTTCCGCACATTCCTCGCACAGCCTTCTAGGAGGCGAGAAGGACTTCAGGCTCCGCTCCATCTGGCCTACTGCAAAAGTGGATTCTGCACTTCTTCATCGACCGGCCCACCCAAGTGGTTGTCGTCTTTTAAGCAAGCAACAACGATAGGGTTCTTGACAAGGCAAGTGCTTTCTTGGTTAACGGGCGCTGTAGCTGCTGAGTTTTGAGCGTTTCTCTGCTGGAGGAGTTGCAAGAGGGTAAACGCGAGCATACAGGCAGTTTCGTGCTTGAGGATGTCCCAGCAGCCAGCACCCTATGGGGCCGGCCAGTACCCGGGCGTTCCTCCGGGAGGCCAGTTGACCCCGGCGCAATACCAGCAGCCGCCCCCCCCAGCAGGGAGCATGTCGCCCCAGCAAGGAATGGCAGCCGTCCCGCAACAGTCGGTGAGCTGCTGGCTCAAGGCCTATGACGACCACCCTGGAGAAAATTATTTGTGTGTGACTCACAGCTTGAACTACCTGCCAAGGCGTTGTTCCTCAAGTTCATTCAAGAATGGTCACAATGGAAGTCTCTACAAGATAAATAGCGGAGAAATGGAAGAGTTCAAAGCTTCAATGTGCAAACGAGGTTGTTCAGAAGTTGCTAGGCTTAGTTTGGTATTGTTTTTGCCACCATTGCAGATTTTGTTGGATCAGGGTCCTCCTCAAGCCAGTCTTTTGTCAGAGGCCCTGTTGGAGTCTTCATACGACGTGAAGTGATTGTAAGGAGCTGTGCTTTGTATGTCCGAGCTGACTGCCAACAAACACAGTGTTCATTGACTGGCACTGTTCTGGAACAGGGTCCACGTCATCAGAAGGTACATGATATGGCTGGAAGCGTCCTCCCCTGTCCCTCAGATGGCTTTCTGGTTTTACGGCCTGCTTTGAATGTGGCAATTGCTTCTTGTGCGTTCAGCCCCAGCAGCAGCAGTACACGCAACAGCAGCAGTTCCAACAGTCCCAACTGCAGTTCCAGCAGACACAGGCACAGCACCGTGCTCAATTGCAGCTCTTCTGGCAGCAGCAGATGACTGAGATTGAGCAAGTAACAGGTGAGGCCTCAACTTGAGGGCCGGTCAGAGTCGGCGCCCGCGGCGTTTACAACATGACATACACCAGTGTACCCTTGGATGTGTGCATGCAAGTGATCCACATACTTGTTGGTCTTCAGCAAAGGTGCCTAATGCCTGCGCTCGATAGAATGAAAGCTCAGTCATGTCGCTCGTGGTTGTTACTAGCTACCAAGGCCCTGGAGCCCCGGCCACCTTGCTGTCTACTGGACCTCCCTGGTGCTGTTCTTGGCAGGGGAACCAGCCGGGTTGTTGATGTGCAGGGCCGTTTTGTTCTCGTGCAGAATTCAAGAATGCTCAGCTGCCGTTTGCCAGGATAAAAAAGATCATGAAGGCGGATGAAGACGTTCGGGTAAGGCGCGAGCCTCCTGGTTTGTCCACATTGCGCTGGCGCGAGCACCATATGGGACTCAGTGATCCGTTGACATTGTGCAAACTCATGGGGACTGATGGGGCAATACCAAACTTGGCAGTGCCCGATGCTAAGACAGTTGCACCACTACGGTTGCCATTTATAGGCCGATGCCTGACCAGATTCATCAGGTTGTTGCTGGCACCTGTCGGAAGCTGCTGGCACGAACGACTACATGCTCAGCCTTTTCATCACCTTTGTTGAGCCTCCCAGGAGATCTGCCAGGAGCCTCATCTGCTAGGTTGCCCTTGCGGCTCGAGGACAGGCCCTCTCCTTGTACTCCAGGCACAGACGCAAAGCGCCTCCCTTGCAAGGGTTGCCCCCCATCTTGGTCCGCTGCTGACGTGCTCCTGCGGTGGTGCCACAGATGATCAGCGCGGAGGCCCCGGTGCTGTTTGCCAAGGCGTGCGAGATGTTCATCCTGGAGCTGACGCTGCGCTCGTGGATCCACACCGAGGAGAACAAGCGGCGCACGCTGCAGCGGAACGACATTGCGGCGGCCATCACCAAGACGGACATCTTTGACTTCCTGGTGGACATCGTGCCGCGCGACGACCTCAAGGTCAGCCCACGCCGCGCACAGCCGGGGACAGCGAGCGCCATGCTGCGCGCCCTAGGGACGTACCAAGGAGTGCCTAGCATCTTTCCTGGTTGAGTCTGTGTGCCTATCTCTCTCAGTCGCCAGCCCGGGCTGCAGCTGGCCGCTCTCCCCGCCCCCCTCAGCTGCTGGATGTCGCCTGGCGCCCTGACCGCTGCGCGTGCCTGTCCAGGATCTGCCGCAGGAGGAGGGGCTGGCGCTGGCGCGGCCGCCTGTGGCGCTGCCTGGCCCAGGGGACCAGATGCAGTACGGGGGGATGTACGGCTACGCACAACCAGCCGCGTACGCACAGAATCCGGTGAGTCTGCGGTGGTCGTGAAGTAGAACACCATAGACTGGTCTCGAGTTTGCCTGAGCAGGGTCACCGAGGCTGTGGTACACTCCAGTGCTCTTTTGAAAATCAAAAGTCTCTCCGCATCAGCAATGCTCTTTGCGAGGTGGGTTGCCAGATATTGGTCTTGTTCTTCGCTCCTTCCATCTCCTCATCAGCACTTTCTGCGATTGTACCTGGTTTCGCATCTTACACCATGCTTTTGCCAGGCGCTTACTCCTCCTTGATTGCCTGCCCTTTCCTGCAGGCATATGTCGGCCGACCTGTTGACCCTGGCTACTACCAAGCCCCCCCGCAGGCCCGCGCTCCCGTCCAGTACATGCCGCCGCAAGCAGCCCAGCCGCAGTACTGGCACCAGCAACCCCCCATGGCGCAGCCACAGCAGATAGGCGGGCCGCCGCCGGATGGGGCAGTCCAACAAAGTTGACGTTTGGTAGGAAAAGTATAATGGTGAGCGGTGATATGAAACTTGTAAAAGTGGGGCTAACGTAGTAAGACCTCATTTTCGGACCTCTTTGTACCGATATGCAGATGATCTACCAGAAGGTGCGAGAGCATCCATAAGACAGCATAGGTTGGACAAATAAGGCAAACTCCTCGGCTCTTCACAGGTTGATCTGGAACGACAGTGATCATTTGTTGTCCATAGCGTACCGCAAAACGATGCACCCTGTTTTGGGCTCAGTGGCAATGTTCGAAACTTTACCCTATCAGTGAAAACACACAGGCTGCTTGATACGCACAACTCAAGTACGCCACACCATCATAATCGTGAGTAAATGGTCGGGCAAGTGTTGCCCTTCATCTCCGGCTGCTTTACACCAACATCGCAACTCGTTCTGGTCCCAATATCAAAGAGACATTTCCAGCATTCAACGCTACAAATGCGCTTACTAAGGTCATAAGCAACTGTGACCAAGCTTGAGCTAGTGAAAAAGAGTCAGGACTCGGATCATCATAAAACGGTGTTTTATATACTTAGTTCAAGGATAGGAGTATGAACATCTGCCTTGCAAATCGGATTAGGGCTACGTGACGTGTTACGAGGAAAGCCTTCACTGGTTTGTGGAGCCGTCAAGTAAGCCGTCATGCGGTGCCTTTCGTGCATCTCATTTCTAAGGGGGGGAACTTATAAGCGAGCTAGCATAGTTGGAGATTTGTCGACCCTGTGCCGAATAGTACGTCGATCATGACAGGCTCTTTATCAGTAATAGAGAGATCGAATCGAACAATCCACTTCTTTGATGCATGATGGTCTCTTTTCGTAACGCCGTAGCCAGTGCGGCCATAGGCTTCTCATGGCATACAATTATTGTGTTGGAAGATGTTTGCTTCTCTATCAACTTACGACTAATATGAACCTACCGAAACAATTACAAACACGAGGCTGACCGGATCTGCCAATCCCAGCGCTGTCCGGGCCTTGTCTTCAACATAACCGAGGGCGTTTGTAGCTGAACGACGGATTTGTACAAAGGCAACGGTTTGTAAGGATGGCCGGTCGGCGTAGAGGAGTCGAAGTTGACCGGGTCACGAGGACCGTGCTGTGAACATCCAGTATAAGATATGCAAGACACCGTCTGTTTAAAAACCCCTGCCCCGTACTTCGTAGCTTAGGGGATCTTTTCGTTTCAGAGGGGAAAAAGGTAACGGTGGTGCAAAATCTATACAGGACTTGAGCTGGGGCTTGAGCTTGAGCTTGACATTGGGCTTATATGATTACAAGCAACACATCATGATACTCGATGCATGGCATGCCAGAACCTTAAACAACGATTTGATGAGAATATTTCGCCGTAATTGCCAGCTGAGGAAGCATGCAAATGAATTCCGACTTGAGGAATATGCCACTGTGTGGACACTGTATATGCTCTGATGAAAAGCCGCTTTACAGAGACTGTCCGTCATGGGCTAGGGCTTTGGCAATGAAGGATGAGGCTGCCGCTTGCTTGTGCTGCTGGTTGCCCGTATGATGCGAGCCTGTCTATTGGCCTGAAAGGGACAAAGCAGGGATGTTAGAAGAACCGCGTGTATGCCCTCCGAACTTGTCACTAGTAGAAGCCAACAAAGCGTACCGATCATGTGCTGCATGAAGGATGAACTGGCGAACCGCGGAATCGATGATGTCTGCAACATCGGATTGCCAAACGACTTCAGTGCGACCTAGCAGATATAGCAATTGCTTGAACGAGGAGGAAGACTGTATGTGCTGCCAGACTCCAATTGCACTTGAATGCTCCACTGATTGCCTTCGATGTTGAGCCACATGATGCTGCGAGATTTGGCGTAAGCAGGGCAATGGATCAAGAAATGTTCCTCATCTTCAACCGCACCGCTAAAGCACACTGAACTTGCAACTTTTTCAAGTTGCAAACAAATCAACCGAAATGGTTCCGTGTTCGATCGGCGATGGAAAAGGCCGAAATTACCAGAGCGAAGATAGAATTTCAATCATATCCACATTAAATCGGTACTAACACTTTCTAACAGTGATTGAATTATAACTTTTGATGCAAAATTGATCATGATAAGTCCATGCAGGTGCCATTATTTGTCATGTAAATGACAAAATTAAATTACACAACGCAACCACGCCATTTTCAGATCGATGTGGTTCGATACCGAGCTGGTCGATGGGCCGTCAGATTCGCGATCCGACGGTGGATAAGCTGGCTGCGGTTCCGAGTCAAATTTGAAGTTTCGATAGGTGAAAGTTCGGATTTCATAAGGACCGCGGCCCGCCGCAGCTCGAAACTCGCGGTTAAAAAGTTCACTCTAGGAATCTGGATGTTGGCTGAAACCTCCACCGGGGCGGCGGATTTTGATTTCCACCAGTGGATTTGTTGAAATTCTAATACGACGTTAGACTGCTGTATTGCCGCGGAACCCCCACCGGAGTGAGCAGGACCACTAGTGACGGAGCAGCGCGCGAGCGGGCTAGCGGGCATTGAAGGGAGCGACGTGGCGGCCGCGACAGGGCCGCGACGCAGGGGTTTTAGCTTAGGATTTCGGGTGTGTGGGCTTCAGATTTACGGTTCAATAATGAGGCCCATTAGCGAGGTGTAGTGATCGGCACCGTCGATACCCACGGGGGTTGCGATGACCAATCATTCAGGACAGCCGGATTAGTCTAGGTGTCGAGCTGTGAGTGGCGGTGGGACTCCGAGGACTTCGCGTTTCGATAGAGGCTTAAGCAGTTGATACTCTAGACTACTCACGGTAGCCTGTGTGCTTTGTTAGTCCGCTAGGGATTGAGGACCTCCGAGGAGACGCGATTCGCTAGCTCATTATAGTAACTTGGACATTTTTCGCTTAGGGTCCCTTGTTTCTTATAGTAAGAGCTTCTGCTTCTAGCTTTCCGTTTGTAGTATCGAGGCCCTCGCCTCCGTAGCAGTTTGGCTGGCACCGCCAGCATTGTATAGCTATATGTCACCAGGCACCCGGCAACCTTTGTGCCGAAAAGACGTTGTGACGTTTTGACTGTGTACCCTCACGGAGGGCTTATCCACCTTGTTCTGACTTTAGTCAGTACCGGCCACAATTGCAGCATATCGCGCCATGACTCATGCAATGCAGACCCAGTGGTGAGTTCATCTTGTGTTGTATCCGTTACGTGTCGGACTGAGTGGGATAGTAGTCTGGCTGGTTAGCTGGAGTGGTATGGGACACTCCCTTGTGTGACGCTCTCGTTAGTGTTACACTTGTCCGGCTGACACACCACGCGTTAGTTCCATCTATCTTCCGCTGCCTGCTGATCCTTGTTGATGCACTGGTAGCTCTATAAGCGCTCTACCTATCGGGGAATTACATTAGCGGTGGTTAACTCGGAGTAGTATAACTCCGATACCATTAGGGTACAGGTCGTGAACGGGTAAGCGTGGGTGGGCTCGCGCATTACAGTGCAGTTGTGACGGTTGGCCAGCTTAAGCGAAGCGCTGGCCCAGGATAACTACGAAACACTAACGGCAGCCATGTGCGGAAACCATGGATGTGCACAGGCATACTCGGACGAAGGCGCTTGCTCTGTAAAAATGTTGTCTTTCAGCTCAAGACAGTTCTGCTTGCTGGTTGGGAATTCGCACTTCGAATGATCCCCGCAAGTTGAACCAAGCCCTGTTCCTCGCTCGCATTCAGTGAAGACCTGAATCATGGAGGGGCAGTCTCGAGCGCACTCGAGGGCTGCATCCAATCATTTCTAAGTCCTCCGTCCAGCTGTTGAGGTAGCTTACTTACTAACCGCATAGTAGAGCACAGTGCGCCACGCCAAGCAATCCTGGTCATGACAGCAACCGACATTGACTAACGAACTGTTTAGAACTGAACGGACTGAACAGATTTAAACACAATGATTGCCCTACCATACATCTTAGCATTAGTGGCATAATTACAATTAATTATGTCACATCAATAATGGCCACATGCCAACACGTCGGCAAACTGGCATAACCCGAAGGTTAACACTTGTGCGATTGTGCGGTTAGACTTAACCATAGCCCAATCGTCACATGAAGACTCCGCGCAGGGCGTCCAGGTGGGCCCGGAATCCCTTGGCGTGGACGATGATGTCGTCGATGAATGCCCGCGCCAGGTCGCCCGTAGCCCCCGGAGTACGCGGTCCATCAGACGCTGAAAGAGCATCTTGGGCCCGAAGGGGGTGCGCATGGGCATGTACAGGTCGTCATGCCCCCAGAAGGCCAGCTTCCACTGGTCCCCTTTCCTGATCCGGATCTGGTGGTACCCCATCCGAAGGTCCAGCGTGGAGAAGCAGTCGCTCCCCCCCAGATCGTCGAACAGCTCGTCCGCAATCAGCATCGGGTACTTGTCAGGGACGGTCTTGTCGTTGTGGGGCCGGTAGTCGCCGCAGATCCGCCGCTCCCTCCGCGTCCTTCTTGCGGGGCATGACGGTGGCGGCGGCGAAAGGCTCCTTGACGCGCGGGGGTAGCTTCAATTGGGCGCGATGACCTTGGCGGCCAGCCTCTGAGTCCACGTACGCCTTCAGCAGGTCCCTCTCGTACTGGGAGTAGCGCCGCTTGGGGGACCAGATGGGCTTGTCGTCGTTGAAGTCCACCTCGAACTCCACCCCCTCGATGGCGGTGTCGCTGAGGTCGTAGATGGACCACGCGAAGATGTCCCGAAACTCCTCCTGGACTTCCCTCGTGCCTCTGTGTTCTGCTCCCGTGTCAGTCCCGGCCATATCTGGTCGTCTCCCCACTCAAAGGGTTTCTCAGCTCCCTTGGCCCCACTGATTGGCTTGCGCCGTTCTCCTCCGGTGCTGTCCCCACAGCTGCTGCTTGAAGCTCCGGTCCCAACTGCCTTCCGCCTGTTTCCAGGGAATGGAGCTCTTCTAAGCCCTCTTCCCCGTCGTGGCTCCGACTCCCTGTTTGTCTCCGGGGCAGTTTCCCAGCGTTGCTCTTGATCACCCTGACCGGGTGTTAGTGGTTTGCCCCCCTCCGGGGGCAAGGCCCTTTCGGACTGCCCTAGCCCTAAGGCCGTTTGGGCCCCACCTCCTTGGTTGACCTTCCCGGGCTTTTCTCCGGTTAACCCCTGGGGCTGGTCACCCTTTCTTCCCTCTCGCTTCTCTGCGGTTCCCCTGGGCTCTCCGGCCTTTGCAGGGATTTTCGTTTTGGGATCTCTAGTCCCCTGTCCTTTCCCCCCCCCAGCTGCGGGACGCTGAGCACTCCGGCGGTCCGCCAGCTGGTTTGGTACTTGCGGCTTTTGTTGAGGGTGAGTCGGAACACCCGTCACGCCGGGGGCGATTGTTGCGCCCCCGCCAGCGCGCCTTCATTCGTCCTTGTTGATGACCCGCCAGCGGCGGATCTCCGTGCACAGCCAGGTGTAGGCGCGAACGTTGATGGCGCTTCCGATGAGCCTCATGCGCGCTCTGCTTCCGGTATGTTGTAGCCCCGGGTTGACCACGGCAGCATCCCCATTATCCGCTCTCGCTCGTCGGCGTTGGGCTCCTGCCACTCTCGGACGCTGCGGTCGTACACCAACCCCGGCCCCGGTTGGTCAGGGGCTTGAAAGCGGAAGGCGTAGGAGCTCGGGGTTGCCACCAGAGTGGGAAAGGTCTGCAGTGGCTCCCCCTTCACGTTGACGCAGTAGTAACCCCGTATTGCGGGGTCGTCCTGGGCCGCCATTTGTACTGTCCGGAAGTTGTCTAGCGCGTCCTGCGCGTCCAGCCGGACCCACACTCGCGTTCGAACTGGTTGTATCGCTCCTGGATGTCACATGCGCGCGCCAGGTTCGTCCAGAACACGCGGGTCCGGTGGGCTGCCGCGACCCTAGTTTTGCCGCGTCAAGCCGGATGCCGCTGTCTGCGTAGCCTCCGTTGATGAGCTCCATCTGTTGGAACCCCCACCGGGCGGGCGGATTGGCGTGGTCGCTCGCGTCCACCATCTCGAAGATGTAGCCCGGTTCGATTGACCACGGGCGTTGAAGGCGTCAGATTGTTGACAGCACGCGCAGTGCCTCCAGGTAGAGGGTGGAGCGGGGTCCTCCAATCCCCGGGCCTGTCGATTGGCCCGGGAGAAGCCCTGGCATGGCGAAGACACGGTCACCAGGTCGATTGGGTGCCGTGCCTCGCGCCCGATGTGGCGCTCCAGCTCCAGTTTGCCGATGTCCCTGATGTTCGAGGGTAGCGCCGTGCGGCGGTGGAGGGTAGGTCAGCTCAGGTAGCTGCTCTGGGTAGGCGTGGTGGAGGGCCCTCAGCCGGTGTCCAAAAACCCTCCGGCTGATCGGGTCGTTGTCCACATACAGGACCTTCCTGATCTTGACTCCGGCCTTCAGTAGCCCCTCCAGCTCCGCCCCAATGCCGCCAAAAAGCAGCAGCACGCACAGCCACTTGTCGTCCCCGAACATTCGGGTGTGGTGTTCGTCGATGGCCCAAATCATCTCCCCCTCCCGGTACAGAGCCGCTTACATATCTCGACGCACTGCTTCTCCGGTGTAGAGTGGTGATTGACCATGAACGCCTGGGGCAGCTCGTCCCAGTTCACGTGGCGGGCTCCACTCTTGGAAGTCCGCCAAGTCCGGCACTGGGGACGGCCGCGTCTCGTCCTCGTCCGCCGGTGCCGGGGGCGGCTCTTGCCGCCGTTGGTGTTGCATCTGCAGCAAAACTATCCGCCATTTGGGGGTAGTCTTCGCCCCGGAAGTCGCCGACGTGAGCTCGGTTCTGGCTCTCAGCTTGCGCCTCCTCCCCGGTCCTGAGGTGGATCTCGAGGAAGTCGTGCAGCTCCCGGACGGTAGACGGCGTTGCTGTCCGGGCCGCGCCACGCCCATCCCGGTGGGAGGTCCGGCCTCCCCAGGTGGTCGTAAGTAGTCTGGCGGTGGTCCCTGGCTGGGTAGCCCTCCATGCTCCCGGCCCAGGGTGGTCCCTCCTACCGGGGGCCGCCTCGCCGGGTCCCGGTGGGTTCAGGACTCCGGGCGTCCGGTCCAGATGGCAGCGTTGTAAGCTGCTCGACCTGCGTGGCCCAGGCGCGCTCAAGCGCCCTCCGCTCTTGCCTCCGCTCGTGGCTGTGGGATTGGAAGATCTCGTTCACGCGCCGCTATCAGCCCCCTCCGGTGCTTGGCGATCAGCTCCCTGGTCCTCTCTTGATGGAAGCGCCGCACCTCCCTTTGCGCCAGCAACGCAGACAGTGAGTGCGCCCGCCCCACCAATGCTCCTAGCTCCATTTCCAGCAGCCGGGCCGTGCGGGTGTTGAAGTTGAACGCGGGGGCATCCACCGGGGGTCCCAGCGCCGCTTCCCAGGGGTAGGCCAGGCGCCGGTTGTTGGTGGCGGCCGTCTGGAACTCCACCGCCTCGGTGTCTAGCCTCCGGAGGGCATCTTCCTTCAGGAGGTCCCTTGCGTAGGCCGCGTGCATCATGAACAGGGAGTCTATCTGCGCTAACTCGTCCCGCCTCCGGGGAAGAGTGCTGAAGCCCGCCAACATGGGTTCGTTGCGGCACTCCAGAATCATGCGCTGCAGCCAGTCACGCCGGTACTGCAGGCGTCGCTCCTCCCACTCCCACACGGCAGGGTACTTGCTGGGCCCCTCCATGCTGATGAAGTCGATGAGCCAGTACAGCCGCTCCCGGTTGCCCTCGCGCCACAAGGGTACTTCGTCCAGGCCTCCGTCAGGGTGTGCTTCGTAGCCCCACTCCGGCTCTCCGTCCGGGATTGGGTAGATCCGGCTGATGCCCCTCAGGTTAACCCCTTGCAGGCCGGGGTTTGGGTACTCCGGCTCTTCGATTTGGGGGTCGGCTTCGACCCACCGGCGCGCATACTCAGCCGGTAAGTTCCGGGGGTCTTTTGTCGAGGTCATAGCATTTCATCCAAGTCTGCGCGAGATAGTACAGTGCACTCAGTAGTTCGGTCCCGGAGTCTACGGGAGACCTCGACCGGGGGTTGCAGCCTTAGGTAGCTGTCAACTGCGGCGGCCCCCCCGGGACTCCCCGTAAACCTAGACTACCCTGGCGTTTTTAAACTAGCCCCTGACGATGGTACCTGAATTTCACCGAGCGCGTAAAAGTTCGATATTGTGCACTGGCATAAATATTCGTAGTCTGCGGTAGCCGTAAGTTGTCTATCTGTGTCAAAAGTCCCGACTTCCCGAGCATTTTCTGAGAGTGCGCAGTGGCACACGAATCCGATTTCATGTCAGACTCAGGTCAGGCTTGACGTCACCTAAGAGCTGCAGTGTGCTCTCTGAATACTCCCGCCCTCTGCGGAAGTCCCACTGGTCAGGGTTGCGCGCGTGTAAGATTGTGACACGTGGCATGCAGACACTTGCTGCTGCAGGGACAGTGTGCGCGCTAAGCCGCGGCGCGGTACAAGTTCGACTTGCAGAATGCGGAGTCTCCGTCCTTCAGGGTTTAGCACCGGGAGTCGTTAGTGACCACGTGCGACTCCGGAGAGCCGCACGATGCTTACTCAGTATTAGAGTACCGTAGATCGATAGGCAGAAATCCGACCGTTAGTAGATACAAGTCGAAAGGCTTCGCGCGGAGAGAAGTTAGCTCTCCGCATTCGTAACGTAACTGGGCAAAGGAACTCAATATCTCATTGAGAACCTGCGCTAAGACTTGCTTGATCTATCGTGCAA